CATTAAAAAAAAGGGGAGGATTAAAAAAAGCACTAAAAACAAAAAAATAACAGCTTTAAAGAAAAAGTAAGCACCTATAAGGGCTTTATATTTTACTTTCAAATATAAGGACTTATAAGCACTTGTAAGGACCTCTACGAACCCTGCATAATGTTAACACTGTGAGTTAGGATTACATACTTGTCAGATCGTGAGCAGAAAGATGGAAAAACGAGCAATTATGACATTTTGCGTCAAACTGAGCAAATCAGCTCAAATGCTATGGCATTACTTAGAGCAATTACAATGACAGCACTGAGACAATGAATTGTACACTATGTTTCAAGTGGCAGAGGCACTTTAATAGAAAACAACCTTTAACCTTTTGATAATCATTAACAAGCCCAGCTTGCATTCCAGTTATCTACTATAGGGGACATAAACATAACTTTCATTAGAAATTTACAAAGGATAGATATTCATATCCAGTTGGGGGGGGGGGATTCTTAATCTTGCAATCGCTGAAGTAGTGCAATCGCAGAAGTAGTAATTGTAGTGTAAGAGAATGCCTTTATGTTCTAAATTATGTTTAAATAAAAAGGTTACTTTAACCTTTCTAAGATATTATTTTTGTTCTTGTAATAAAGACCACCCTTATAAAACACTGCAGGTGTCTGATGGCTCATCACACTGAAAATGTAACGAAACACATTTCTGTAAATCATCGTTTACTGATCATAAGCTTCTACTTCATGAGTGACGGAATTTCTGGATAATTTTGAATAGCTGACAAAACTTCTTAATTTTAGCTTCTTGAAATAAAATCTCCAATGCAACCTACGATACCATTCTCAAAGGGTTTTGGCGAATTGAAAGTTTATATGCAACCTTAAATGATGTAATTGTAGGAAACTTAACTTTACTTACGGACTTGATAAACACTGACTATTTAGAAACAAAAGTGCTTTCAGTTACATTTTCTTGGATTGCTGTTATATTATTTTTATCTAAGAACTTTGGTAAACTGTCATTCTATGTTTTCTTCCCTTGCGGAGATATCTTTCATGTGTTTTTTTATACCTAAATGCTAAATGTGCATGATAAACATTAAAGCTCTCATGGGAAGAAAATTAATATGCTTAAGAGCATATGAGATATGTAAGGAGGGTAAGTCATGGAAATACTACTACTTTTATAACATATGTAATGATTTTGTATTATAAATGATTAATGTATAATAAATTTGTGAGGTTTATCTATTTTTAATAGCTTACTTTAAGCTGAAAAGCCTTTCCTATCAGTTTCTTTTCGCCCATGCTTTTCATGCCAGAATGTAAATGAGATAGCAAGAGTTTATTCAGATTAAGGTAGAATGAAGTTGCTATTTAAGCAAGAGCTTCGAAAGTTAGTTTCCGAGCATGCCTGCCTATTCCAAAACATGTTGTGCAGTGATTATTAGCGACTTGTGTCAGTGGTGTTAATGTTTTTAGGCTCATCTCACCGGTTACTATAGACCAGAGCTCTGCCTGCACATCAATTCTGTGAGCCATTAGGCTAGCCTACCACACCCTGAAATTATTATTTGTTATGCATTTCTGTTACGCAAGAAGTGTTGGCTTCCTGTAACAAAATTTGGGTCATTTGTTGATTTTATGCTTGAATAAAAAGGTCTTATATACTCTTCTTCTGGTCTCGGTTTAGTTTCATAAAGGCTAAAAGATAATTCTTTAAGAGTTCTTTTAAAAGTTTATGTTCCCAAAATGCCACAGACTGTAGAAATTGAAGATTATTACATTATCCTCATAACAGCTGCTGAAGCATAAATCAAACAAATACATTTGTTGTTAAAATTAATGAAAAATTTCATTCACTGTTAAAATGATAACTGAAAGTAATTTCCCCCCCCCTTTCCCAGCTCTTATGATGATACGATTTTGACAACTATGAAATCATTAATATCAACTAATTAACATACATAAAAGAAATGAATACTTTTTATAACTGCATGAAACTACCAAATCAGCAGCTACTTCGTGCAGACGTAGGCAAGAGGCTGATGGTGCTGTAAAATAACCGGATATTAAGGCTCATAAGGATCATCAAATGAAAATACTGTTCAGCCCAATCTGAAGCAAACCACCGTGACATCAATGATGAAACCACAAAATTGAGAGCAATGCTACCAAGCAACGTTCAGTGTAAAACAGTGTGTCGGCTCAAAGCCCAGTGAAGGAGATCTACCTCCGGAACTCTTTGGTTGGCTGCACCATTGAATGTGTGGCATAAAAGGAATTTCTCATTTCCCCACTTGGCACTTGACTTCACAAGACTGAGATGAAGCCACACATGCAAAGCGAGCCAGATGTGGTTCACAAGGTATGAGGTTAGGCATTCCTGATATACACAATATTAATACAGAAGCTAAAGATATTGCATGTTGCTACCAACTTTGTTATTTGGCTACTGACCCCTGAGCAAAAGGAACATCCCATCACAGCATGATATGATCTCCATGAACGAGACACTGATAATCCAATAGTTGTCAAAATGCAACAATAAACTCCTCTGTGTTAATGGTGGTGCAAGGTTAACTGTTATACAAGGTAACTAACTATTGAAGGAGATAATATAAGCTGGTAAGTACTTTTTTAAAAGTCAACAAAGATAATCTAGAAATCTATTGGCAATTCTTCTATTTCCATAAGAAGACCTCTGAATCAAGATATTTTAATCATGTTCTAACTGCCAATAATCTGCCTCTTATAATCAAGCTACAGAATTATTACTAAAAAAAAATTAACTTTCTGAAGCCGACTGGTACACCAGTTGTACCAGGAAAATGACCTTCCTTAACACCGGCTCTGGTACAACTGTTGTACCACCCATTCCCTCCCTATTTTAGAAAATCGCCTATCTGTAAATCTCAGGATGGTCCATTGTCACTGGGTCCATTGTCCATTGTAAGGGGATGGATGATTTTGTGTAAACCTTTTTTAAGATAAAATTGCTCGCATTTACGTTCCTGGTGGAAAATTCCACATGTAATCAACCCGTTCTTCGGGTTTGATTGGATTAATTTTGTTCACTTACTGAATTACATCAAAGCACACAACAATTACCTGTATAAGGGAAGAGATGCCTTCGCGGAGGACTTTCTAAGGGAAGCTGGCTTGCATTTACATTACGCAAAAACCATGAATCCAACCCTTTAGCCTGGATTCAAACCCGAGCAAGCTACAAGTGTTCAGCCACCTTTACCGCTCTACTGAAGAGCTTGTAAAAAAACTAATAAAAGAAAAAGTATTGAAATAACCGGTTTAATTTGCTAACCTATATTTCTCAATCGACGGTACATAAATTACGCATATGAAGGGATTATTTGTGAATAAATAAACTGTATTGCACTTTTCTCCACTATTTCATATTACGATGGAATTATTGCATTTCAAAGTTATTTCTCATGAATCAATTTTGCTCCAATCATGATTTTTTATATTTTCAAAGAGAAAATTTCACACCTTAAATAAAAAAATACACGAGAAAGATACTCAATGCAAAATTTGGCGTAAACGGTTTTCTTAATTTTGCTTTGAAAATATTCCAGGGTAATCGTTTTCATTACTGGAAAAAATATGAAAAACAGATTTACTACATTGTAAGAGTCAACACCCAGTATGTCCTTATTCTTTTGAAAACGTGAAAGATTACTCTTTCTAAAATAAATTAGAAAATATAATATGTACAAATAGAATATTCACTGAAAATGAAATAAACTTCAACCTTTCGATATAACAATGTTTTAGATAAAATTTCTACCTATGAAAAGAATTTGGCATATAATTAATTCTTCATGAGCATTTAAACTGTTCTGAAAAATACTTTTGATGATTGCATGTATAGGTCACACATTTTTTTTTCTTTCTCTGCTAACATAAACAAAAGCCAATTTTACAAAGAAAAATTCTCGTTAAAGATATACCTTCTTTGCCTGATAGTCCAATGTAATATTTGTTAAAGTTAAATGACTAGATTTTTATATTATAATAACAAAATTATCGAAAAAGCAGATTTAAATCTCTGTTATTGTTAAGCAAAGCTTTATTATTGCTGTAAGTTCATCTCAAAATCTAATTGTATTGAATCTCATTCTAATCATCTAATGGTAATAAATATTATTTCATTAAATTAGTCATTACCATTATTTTGTTAATGAAAATATGTTATTAAAAATCGCATTCCAGCCTGCAGACTTACAAAGCTAGTTCGTATTTATTATATTTTGTATAATTTGGTTCTCGTTTTCTAATTTCTAATATGAAAATACGAAATATAAATGAAGAGTGAAAACAAAGTTAAAAAATTCACAAATTATTTACGAGATTGATCAGAAATAGTGAGTGAAATATAAACATTGCATACATTTTGTTCTAATTAAAGAGTGCACTGGATATGCATCCAGTACTGCATATTTATTTATGCACTATTTATTTAGAACTTCATTTAAATTAAAGCAAAATAATCATCGGAAAAAACCCAAATCTAGCAACCCATCTGCTATGGGACAGCGTCCGATAAACATGTAAATTTTACTTCATCCATGGAGGGGGGACTAACGACTTTTCTCATTAGGAAATTGTCAAAGAGGGGGCAAAACTGTTTCGGATTGCGCTGGTCTGAAGGCTATATTATGAGAATTTCAGTCCGGTTTTAGAAGGTTAATATTATGTTCATTAATCAGATTTTTTTGCTATCATGTATGGCAATACATGAAGCTAAACACAATGGACAGCTGGAAGTGATTTTTTTCGTGAATCCAAAAAGCACTTATTATCAGTATGTATGATTCATTTAAAATAATATAAAAACTTCAATAACTATTTATTATTATTTATTTTTTTAATTTACTCTTTTTGGAATTTGCTTAATTCATACATATTTTTCGTAATGATATTCAAAACATGAATGTTTCTGCATTAGGGACAGTAATTACACACACACATACAGTATAAAAAAATAGATACCTGATCCTTGACAGATAGCTGCTTTGTTGAAGGAGGAGGTTCCCCTTCCTTATTTTCTTAAAAAGAAGCAATAAATTTATTACATACACTTAAGATATTAAATATGACTAGTACTATTACTTAAAATTAAAAAAAAAAAAAAAAAAAAATCTTGTACCTGATGTTTGCTCAGATGATTTCACAGTACACCCCAAATTGCTAAAATTTGATTTTCCACTAGTTATGCTCACTGTCTGTACAAAAGAATCATCCAACTTCCTATTAGAAAAATTTTAATATCTGAAATAATTATAATATGATATACAACACTACATTCAAATATTTGTACCTTCTATGATGTCAATAAAACTGAATACACATAAAAAAATAATCGGATACTTACTTAATATTTCTCTTGGGGAAAAACTGTTCATAAAATGCACTGTCATCATTGGAAGATTTAAACATAAGAGTTGCCGCGCCGTCTACATTACAATCCTTACAAGCTGCATCAATTTCAACATCAGGAAGAGGAGTGCGCCAATACTGAAAACTATTAAAGGCACTTTCATCAACTAATGATTCTTCATTTACTTTGAACTTAATAGAAACTTCTTCAACACACTTCTGATTACTATTTAAGCAGCTAGATTCCTGATGGGAACCTGGGGAAGTTGCACTTGGGATGTCACTAATGTCTGTCTTCTGTTCTTGAGAACAAATGTTTTCAATGGAATGCACAATTTCAATTGAATGAGAATCTAGATCTTGTTTTTCTATATGTGATTTATTAACGGGAAAGGATTTCTTTAAATAAGTATTTTCATTCACAGATGCATTACAACTGAGTACAGGAATAACTTCACAATTTGTTGGTCCAGACAGAGCAGCAGATGAACTTATACTTATTCCATTTACAGTAACAGAACGTAAGGAAGCAGACTCTACTTCAGAATTAATACCATTTTGTACAATATTGGAATCTAAATGATTTTCTATAGCACTTTCTTCCCCATTTGTATCATTCAACAAATCACCATTAGGTATAGAATCATTCTTAGGTCCAAATAAAAATTCATACCAAAACTTATTAAATCCTTTCTCATCCACATTATTGAATTCTTTTTCATCCACACTAAAGTTAATACCAGTTGTTTCAAGGCTTTTGTGACACTTCTGATTTATTTCAATGGTAGTTTGAGAATTTACAACAGAACAACTATCACCTCCAGAATTTAATTTATTAGATAAAGTATGCTCAGAATCACAGTGTATACCATTTTTCTTAGATAGACAGTCAGTAGTATCATCTTCGACATTTTCTTTTGCTACAGTGGATGATGTCAGATTTGAAGAGTTTACTTCTATCACAGTACAATAATTACCAACATGGCACGAATTACCTGGAATTTCCGAGGCAGAAAGTTTTGCTTCTGTGCTGCACAGAGGAACTACACTATCACAGGTTTTGGAAGAGTTAGTCCTGTCTAAACTAGAATAATTATTACAATTTGAAGTCTCTGAGTTTTCACACACAGTACTACAGTTTTCTACATTTTTCTCTGCTGTATCACGCTGTTCAGAAGCTGTTTGCTCTGCAGGCAAATATGGGACATCAACTACTGTTAAAACTCCATCTTTACTATAGTATAAACCAGTTTTGTCAGGTTCTGCAAATGTTGAAATAAAAGGTCCCAAAGCTTGATATGCAGTTAAACGAACCTTTATAGGGAGAAAAATTCAGAGCAATAAGTAACACAATTACAACAATTATATTTATCAACACTTTAATAACAAGTTCAGCATTGGTAATAAATACATTCAAATTATACAAACGCACCAGTAAATAATACAATATACGTGAAACATACAAATATTTCAGAAGTGTTATATGCCTTGCATATTTCTGGCATACTTATTTCTCCTCATGCACATAAAACTAACATTAAACATATTCTGCTATTTTAGACAAAACCTCAAAAAACAAGCACTGTACCAGAAGAAAAATGTATCCTTGAAACTAAGTGCAGTTTCAAGAGGTGGCAGTAAAGAACCAAACTTTGCTTTTAAAAATGTTACAGATGTTTCAGCCCAAATCATGCTTGCACATTACTGCTCAAATTTCACACTATCATAGGGAAATAGAAAATAGCTACTGAATATGGTTCCCATTCAACCATTCAAGTAAACTACATGAAATTTACTTTTTTAAGTGGGGGGGGGGCACCTTTGGGTCATAATGACTTGTGGATACAGGAGCAAGTCAATATATAAGTTAAATAGTTACATACAAAACAATCTTACCCAACGACTTTGATCAGACAACAGATACATATACAGAGTAGCAAGCTCATTGCAACGAGTTTCTCGGGATACAACACATGACACAGGCATGAAGTTCTCAGTACATGCCTTCCTAACGCACCAAGCTTGATCTTCACAAAGATTGACAAATTTTGGCAGCTGTAAAGAAGTTTACATAGTTATATATGAAATGCTTTTGTCCTTATTTTTAAAGAATATAGAAAATATAGTATGTTTTATTAATTCACATAGAAATAGATTGCAGATTATATTATTTACTTACTAGCAACTCCTCTGTAGTTTCCCTTCCTACAGTAGTACAAAAATCACCAAATGTTGAAGCACAAGCCTATATAGAAATTAATACTCATGTAAAATATACATAAATAAATACTATAATGCTGCAAGTTTAAAACAAAAACTCTGGGTATGAAATTGGGAAATATACTAACAATGCAAATAAGAAATTTACAGTAACCATAATCAGCTTTCTCCTAATACGCAGTAAAGGAAAAGTTGTTGAAAATACTGACTGACAGGTGAGATCTTCACTAAAGTTGGAATGGTTAGAGTAAGTTTTCTCTCCTCCCTAACTCTTAAGCTTTTGAATTTAATGTATAAAAAAATAATAATAAAAGAATCAAGTAACTGACTCTGAGGACAGTATTGCATAAGGAGGTACTACTATCAAATAATTTTTATGTTCTTTTGCAATTATTTTAAGTTTCTCAACTAATATTTTCAAATTAATTGTTGAATCGCTATTGTATGATGAAATTATTCTGAGCTACAAACTTTTGACAAATTGGCTTAACATAAATATTTAACCTTAACATATTAAAGCAATGCTGATACTTCGGCTAGCATATAAACCAAGCAAACTCTTATAACGAAAATTATAAGTTTGTATTTATTTTTTTAATGCTCACTAGGAAAAACAGAAAAAACATACTAAACAGTTTGAACACTGAAACGAATCCAAATTAAAATAATTACCAAAAATGAAAAGATATTTTGAATACAGAAAACTTTAAGGAAATTCTAGAAAATTTCAGCAAAAAATGTAAATGAGGAAGGGGAATCAAGAAATACAAAAGATAAATTAGGATCTGCAATCTAAATTGCAAATTTGCATAAGTTCTTATTGCAGTATTTCATGCAGTGACATCTGTTAGAGCTATGCAAATTGCCAGTAAATGCATATCGAAAACAAGCTTTACAGACCCGATTTAAAGTTTTATTAATATTAGTTGTGTTATAAATATTTTCTTTTAAAAATCAGACTTCTTTTAACTGGTTGAACAATTCCGGGATGAGAAATATCTGCATGATATGTATGTGCATCTATAAAATATCAAAATGCAAACAGATTTAAAGAAAAAGATGAAAATAAAACCACCTGAAAATTAACAAAATAAAAGCTTCAATCATTTGACCTGTGCATAAATAAAATACTCATGATATCTCCATTTATTCTACTCTAATGTTATATAGATAGAAAGCAGATAACTTGTATTAAAGAAAATAGCATATTAGGTGCAATGAATGACCATGATTCATATGAACAGCAGTTATCATCTGCCCTCTCTTTCCAAAAAATCTCGACAATCTTGCAGCTAAACAGTTGGGTATTTCCAAAAAGGCACACTTATTTATTCCGAATTTCCTGTGTATGACCAATAAGTTTACTTTCCTAGTGATCAATTAGTACTTCTCAAAATAGTGCAAGTCTGCAATATATTTGCAGACTTTCATACCAACTCCCCTCCCATTTTTTAATTGAAATCATCTAACAACATACATTTAAAGCAATTATGCTGCTTGACGTGAAATTCTAACCTAACACATGTATTAATTTGGTAAATTATGGATGATAAAACATTTTTGTTCATTCTACAGTTCCCATCTCCCACTATCAAATCTTCAAAAATCCAATTTCGGAAGATACACATTTAATTTCTATTTACATGGACTTTCTGTTGATCATAATAGTACTTTTTCAGAATTATTATAGGTTTTAAGAGCAGTTTGGAACTATTTGGCAGGTTTCTTTGAAGATCTGAAAAATATTTAAAGAGACTAAAAAATACTTAAGAGATAATATAATTTAATAAAAATAAATGGTTATTAATTGTTTGCTACATACCATTTTGATTTATATTTTATGTTAGCACAACTTTCAAACAAATAGGACTTAAACATATATATATTCCCCCCCCTAAGCAAATAAGCTGAGAAAATCAATTCTACATGCTCAAGTATAAGACTCAGTAAACAAAATCAACAATTTCAGAATAAAACATATGCTGACATTTATGAATCTTGAAAGCACCGACTGAAACCAATTTCCAATCTAAATACACACTTTATTCTGTTACTATAAAATATATATACATAAATTAACAACTTACTTTTCGAACATTATTTGCCTTATCAGCACATAAAGAGAAGAGGCGATCCAGAAAGAGTTCTTCTGCAACATCTTTGCCCAATAAAACAGCCAATTTACTCATCAACTGAAAAATAAAATATGCCTGAGGTATTTAAAAAAATTAACATATACATACATAAGAATATAATTTACAAGGGTATTGTGCAAGAAATGATGATTTTTCAACATGGTCCTGCTCATCAAAGCTGGCTGTGATATGACAATAATTATATGCACATCACAGCAACAGTTTGACGACAGGCCCATGCAAACTTTCATGTGTAGAAGGTGATGTAAGATAGCTCCTCTCCGCTCATCAAAGCTGGCTGTGATATGGAGATTAAAATGACATACCACATCCACTTTGTGAGAGAAGGAGAACCAAGTATATCTACACTGGTAAAGCACAAACACGACACAAATTTAGTAGCTGCAAGAAGCATAAATCAAACACAAAATATTTTACACATATAAACAAAAATAATAAAAAAATTCAAGTAGTATCGATAATTCACTTTTTCCTCAAAAGAATACATAAAGGGGACAAGAAAAATGTGCTTTTTACTTAACAGTACATTAAAATTTGGAGAAAAATTTTTATCTGCCAAAAGTAAATTATTAACAATATTTTAGAGAATCTAAATTTATGTAAAAGCTACATGCCATCAATTTTTACAATGATGCTTTATATTTTACACAGGAAACATATACTGAAATTCAACAGCGTGCTTATGTAAATTACACAAAAAATTAATCTACACCTAAAAAAAAATACACTTCTTAGCCTGACATCAAACGTATTAACCATTAAAAAATGGTAAAGACAAGTAACTCTACATACTTATATTGACAGTATAAAAAATAATACAAAACATAGCTTTAATTTCCATACTGACTCTTAATTCTTTCAGCAACATTCATTGCTACGAAGGAAAGCTGTATTGTTTTCCGGACTGCATAAAATATTTTTGCAGAATACTTTACTTCTTGCAGAGGGAGAGGATGGAGAGAGCATTTACATAAGATTCTTACAATATTATGCAATATTTACATGAAATTTATACCAATTTCAGGATAAATTTTGGTTAATTTTAAATGCATCACAAATTGTATTTGTTATTAATAGCAACTTAGTTTTAAATGTGTTTCAAGAGAATTACCATAAAAGTTTCACATAAATAAAAGTTACCAACAGCCCAATTAAATGATGTATAAATCTGCTTTTGAATTTCATGATCCATTTCAATATAACTATGGATACTTTCTTGTGCCCCCCCCAAAAAAAAATTAGAAAAAAGGTCTTATTTTTTACTTACAAATTCAGTTCTAAAAAGTAACTTCTAAGCACAGAATGCTGAAATTTTAATGCCATACAGTGAATGTTTACAATTAATTTTAGTTTCATTCATATAATCATTCTATTAACTATTAACCATTTTTAACAATGAAAGTTCAAAGTCATGATCCTAGAACTGTCATTTCATCAAACTGGCTAATTTTCAATTTTCATTATCGCTTTGTAGAATAATTATCAACTACAGTAAAAAGAAAATTTCATAATGATACATATAAAAGTTTTAGGGGGTAACAAGATAATGGAGAAATCACACTTTCAAACTTTACAGTTTTAATGGATAATTTCAAATGCCAGCTAAATTTATTTTAAAATACTTCAATATATTAAAATTTTCTAAATATGGAAAAAGTTCAATCTTCATAGTGTGGCATACACTCCAAGATGACATAACAATAAAAGATGAAATTAGGAACACTCTTTACCGTCTGATGACAGTCCATACCATCAGATCATCAAGATGGCTGTGATATGGTATCAAAAATACAGATCACTGCCAATTTGACGAACAGAAGATATGGTACATTCAAGAAGCATTTCTTTAGTAGGCAAAGCAACAATTTAACATGTCAAAGATAGCTGTGATATGAATTAATAATACATTTCACTACTACTTTGACATATCAACTAGTCACACTAAGGACTGAAAGTGTCCCAGATGTTTTACAGTGCCCTTACCGTCAAAGACAAGGTAGTGAGATGGGAATGGAAAACATCTCACTACCCATGTCTTTCACAGAAAAAGCACAACTTCTTTTCAAAGGGCTGGCTGAGTAAGTACTGATAATAATTACAAAAAGGAAAAATAGCCTCCTGTAAACAATAAATAAAAAATAATATGCGCAAATTCTATAATACAAGCTTTAAATCCGTCTTGCAGTTAAACAGTTTATTACAGTTCATTTATCATTTCAAAAGTGAAAAATAATTACACATCTCTAGAAAAATCTTAAAAACCCAAACAAAATCATTTATTTAAAAAAGAAAATACATAGTACATTTCTTAACTGAGAAATAAACATGAAAGAATTTTAAATGAAGTAATTACTGAAAGACATTATATAAGTTTTTTTTCCCAAAAATCTAACAAACCCCTTCTGTGGGGAAGGAATGATCTTTTCCACTTTATTTTGAGGTCAGTGACAGAGTTGCCAGAAAGTTTTAAGCTAATGTGATATCAAGATATCAAATGATAGCAAAAACTAGCATGTGATATTCAGAAATCACACGACTTTTATGACATCATAAGATTGCCAAAATGTTACACAAAGCAATCAGTCAAAATACTTCAGAGCACATTTCAAAACCAAGAGCTTGGGAGCTATAAACACAGGATTGGATCCCTGGCTGCTAACCTAAATAAATTATTACTCTTCATTAAATTTTAATGGATACATTATATTAACATATATGCATTCTGATATATAAAAAAGTTGTTGTTAAGTTAAAAAAGTTTTTGTTTTTGCTACCTTAACATTCTGTTAAGGTAGCAAAAAGTAGCACAAGGAAATGATGAAGTAGTAGAAAACCTACATCGACATTAATTTTAAAAGCTCAGGCTTGTAAAAGTAGAAAATTTGCCCAAAAAAATCACACAATCTGGCAACACTGACCTAAAAGACTTCACTCGCCTGCTAAATTTTGAACTTGGACTCTACCACAGGTGGCAGAACACTGCTTTTGCACACACTACAGCACAAAGAATGCATAATCCACCCTCTTCTGTGTTTTTATGCCCTGCATTAGTATTCATGTTTCATTTGCCAAAGTTAACTATTGAGGAATTATTTTTCTGGAAGGAATCCTTTCCCATGTTACAAGCTATTATAAATTTAAAAAAAAAAAAAAAAAAAAAAAAAAAAAAAAAAAAAAAAAAAGCATGAATATTAAATACAATGGACAACAAATAAAACAGCAAAAAACTAAACAGTAAATTTTCAATGTATAAACCAATTACAATATATATTGCTTAAACAACAAAAATAGTATAAATTTCTTAAATAACTTATAAATAAGTAAAAAAGCAGCAAAGCTCCAAAAATACAAAACAAAGGAAAAGCCAAATAATTTTAACAGGTACAATAATGAAATATCCTTAAAATCTTACCACAATTGATTCTGTTCTTATATCTTCCGGATGGATATTTTCTGTTAGATGCAATATAAGAGGACAAAATTTCTTACTCACAGTATCTAAAATAAATAAAACCATTTTACATGCACACACTGCATTTGATTCAATACGAAAAATATATCAAGAAAGAATCAAACTTTTAATCCTTTGACTTGAATCAGGACTAACTACCATTAACAAATTGTTTTTTTACAGTGATGCAGAAGTGAAGAACTTATCTACCAACTAGTAAAACAAATGTTGATACTTTCACATAGTTGACATTTATTTAATCCAAAAGGCACATAGTACATCTCTGAATAATTCAAAATGCTCAAATTCAGAAAATTTTAATAAATAATTCAAAACACTCAAATTCAGAAAAATTTAATTTCGAATATACCCTAATACTTCAAATTAATAATTTTCAAATACCAATTTAAAATAAAAAAAAAAAAAATATTTTTAGGATCTATTGGGGAGGACATGAAAAAGCATTCAAAGTTAAAAATTTGTCATTCAATGATCATACAAATAAAGCATGAAAAATCAAGAAATCAGGGATAACACAAATTATAAAGCATTTTACAACAAGGAGACAATTATACACTGGCTTTGCATTTTTACATAACCTGTAGGTTGTCATTAATTGATGTACTTTCTGAGGTGAAATGGTTTGCTTTTGCATTCTCTACCGGCTCTTAATGTTTGTACTGGAAATTCTGAATGATTCTGTATGTACAGAATATTACATTGTTTAATTGTAGTACCGGTAAGATTATTTTCTAGTTTGTAAGATGATTTGGCGAACTAAATTTACATTATTTTATTCTTGGACATCTTTTATTACATACAGACTTTATTTATGGATTCATTATGAAAAATATTTTGTTAAAAATTTATTCAACTTACCAGTGTCTATTAATTTTTGTTCGATTAAAGATATAAGAGCAGAGTGAGCAGTTTGTCGTACCTGGAAAACAGCAAAAATCTAACATTAAAGTGAAACTCTAATTTAACAAGAAAATAAATCAATGAAGAAAAATATAATTACATATGACTTAAAATGAATGCACATAAATATGAAAAATCAAATGCATAATTATAATTAATACATAACCACACAGCAGTTAAATGCAACTTGTTGTCTAAAAAAAAATTTTTTTTCTTCTTCTTCTTCTCTTCAAAATGATTTGTTTCTCTCAAAATCTCAAAAACTGCACTGTTGCAGGGTAAAAGGCATTAAAATTGAACTATCCTCTCTTATTTCAACCAAACAAGAGAGTCCCATCAAGAAGAGAAACAATCAAAACTGGAAGTAAGTTGCACAATGATCACCCGCTCCATATTATTGCTAAGCTACTAAACTTGTTTTAACCAAACAACTAACAACTAGTGAAGTTTTCGTTTCAATAATACTGACAAAAAAGCAATATGCTTGATAACCATTAAGCCTGTTGGAATTTATGATAAACATTAAGATGATGATAAAACACTATTTTTATAACATAAACTGTCCTTGATAAATGTGCAACAAACCTACACTTACTCTGAAATGGTCATTCCTTTTTAAAGCCTTCATTCAACTTTTCACAATATTTGAAATTTGCACATTTATTACAGACTGGGCTATGTTTACCACTTCTGACAATTAATCATGAAAGCCATAATAACATGGACATACCATTAATTCTTTTTTTTCCTATCATGTGAATACTGATATACTTAAATAAAAATAAACTAATGAAGAACAAATTGTTAACTCATAACCACGCCCCCAAAAATTTATTCTCAAACCGAGACATAAGTCATCAAGTTTATACTTTTTACAAATACCAATTATTCAGAAACATTCTGAACAAATTTTTCAAAACATAGTAGTTTACAAGTGGAAATAGAATACTTACTTTACATACCACATGCATAATTAAACAAACACCTACTACATAATTAATTAAGTTTAATAAATAAAAAGGACATGGAAAACAATGTCTTCATTACAAGTAGCCAAAACAGCTAGCTTTTACAATGATCACACATTAAAGAGAATAAAAAAAATATTAACTCACAAAACATTTGATTCTTTCCCAAACATGTTACAGTTCCCAAATAAAAAATTACGCTACTCATTATGCAAAACTGGTAGTAATAAAAAACAGCCTTACATAAACTTACAAAAATGCAAACATTATTTGTTGGCATTTTAAGAAGAGAAAAACTGAATTATACATACTGTACTGTTTTCATCGCCTAAATAACTTATTAGCATTGGAACCAAATACTGTTGAATCGAGAAATTTAAAGCGGCTTCTTTGCAATATGCAGCTATATTTGGAAGTTGCACTACGAGTTCTATTCTGACAGCTGGATCTAAAAAGAAAAGAAAATTTCTTTCAGTACAAATGCCTTGAAATCAAAATAATACACGCACCCCCCCAAAAAAAAGATTTCATGATTTATAATTATATTTTATTAACTATGAAGTTCATTAATTCAGCATTAAAATCTTGCTCTTAATTATTTATAATAGTTGCAGCTTTCTTTTATGCAAGAAAATGCTTTTCCTGCACTGAAACTCTACTTAATGCTCTTTTATGATTTAATATCAAATTTTGGTCTAATACCTATAAATTTGTATTTGTTCATATATGAGTTTTTGATTTGTAGGATTTTATTTTTTTAAACTGTGCAAATGGTTTTTCTCCCCTTATTAACTTGTAATGAATGCAAGATGACACCACAAAAGATGGTAATATAACAAACTTATTACTTTACAACTATATTTTGAATTATTATTAAGAGTTTATTTTCAGCATTTTGCAATCGCTCAAAAAACTTGAAATCTGGTTCTCCTGTTTCCGCAATGAAAAAATTAGTAAATGAATTTGGCTTAAAAAAATTAAAATAATATGCCATGTTTCAGTTATTTCATATGTAACTATAAATTATATCGTAATAAATTATTCCATTTCACTTATTAAGTTTTTCCTTTTGAAATGATCATGCTACCTTGCCAGTAAAAGTGAATGTCGGCACAGTATAAAAACAATCATATCTTAATTAATTAGAAGCATATACATAAGAACGGACTCAAAAATGGAAACAAAATAGAAACAGGTCACTGATAACCATAGGACAAATTAATGAATTCTAAAATCTGCTACTGACAAAATAACCACTGCCGCTAGAGCATAATAAATCCTTGTTCAGTAGCAATACAATATAAACAGTAGAAATATAATTTTGGGAACTTCTTTAACCATTTTTTTTTAAAGCTATAATGAGTAAAAATCAGCATAGTATGATTTTCGGAAAGCCAAAGTTATTTTTTGCCTCTCAATACTTTCCAAATAAGAACTTTCCGGCGACGTTTCGATAAACATCGCCAAGACAATTCATGCCACGTATCGATTCACCTTCGAAAACATGCTCTAACAAATATACGGACATTCTCTACGTCTTAACCCCATGTATAACAGCGCCAACACTTTCGCTACGCATTTTGTGATAAAACTTTCTCCGCAGTACAAAAAGTTTTACTTTTACTTGTTACAACTTTTTTTTCTTTGACTTTTTATTAAAATGCAAACATTAATGCACTTCCGGAAATACGACGAAATATTGAATTTGAAATTAGGGCAACCCATACCCCATCACATACCCATAACGTCATTAAAACTACAATAAAAAATAGAAATATTTTAATGTACCATTTCTTACGGCATAACTGCTACCTTGAACTATGAAAAACCGGAAGGTCTTCGCGTTGTGTGGTGACGCAATTTCGAAAGAAACTCCAAAAGGTCCAAATAACAGACTTTCATCACTTAACAGTTATTCTACAATTATTTCAGATTCATGTTACTGAATTATTTAAAATGTGTAAATTATTTATTTGGTATTCTAAGTTTTATCTTCTTTGCCTTGTTTATATTTTGTAATTTTTCTTTTACACAGAGCAAGTTTTAATTAGGGATACTTGCGTGTTTTATACACGCATTCTACTGCATAAAATGGTACTTTTCTGTTCTAACAATTTTATCCACAATGGGCCTTGCGATGAAAATTCCTTAGTAAAGCGCCCGAAACGCGAACAATTTGAAACAATTTGTCAGTTTGTTTAATTAGGGAGAACAATTGTTTTGACGTTAGGATCTCGAATTTATGAAAAATACTGGTGTGTAATAAAAGGCATTTTTTTACATATCGAGGTTAAATTTTCATGCGATTTCTTCAAATGCTAATTTCTTTTTAAACATTGGTAACAAATTTGCATGCGTCAGCACCGGCCCTAAAAATATCGGGCTCCATTATTTATTCTATTCCGTTATCCGTTTATAAACAAGATACCAGCATTATTTTCTCGGGTATAAAATATCACAGTTACTTTTGCTTACTATACAATATGTGGATATTTTTGACGTAGAACTGATAGATATTTTCAATGCAAAATAAGAAATTAATCCCAAACACAGGAAACATATCTACCAATGCTGCAAAATGCTTACACCCAGTCAAACATTTGAATACGAAATTCTGAAATAAAGAAACAACACTATCGAAACACGAAGTGTTCCATCCTTCAGGACGTATAAAAACAGAACATATAAAAGTGAAGATAGCTTAGATTTCGGGTAAACGTTAGCGCAAAATGCGGGAATGTATCAATAAATTCTTTTCTCTTAATTTTTTCTCGAATTCATTTTCTTTCCATCACTTCTTATAAACGTACTGGCATGAATGTACGCGCAAATGCACATATTCTCATAAGCAGTGGTTTTACGGTCGACTTTCGATTTTACGAAACTAAAAAACAGGGCTCACTAAATCAGAAGTTCGTACGCAAGAATGCCATCAAGCCCAACGTTTTGAGACCAAAGCAGTGATTGGTAAAAATGCCAATTCGTAAATCGAACCTTCATGAAAACGAGCGACCGCTGTATTTCGATAAAAAAAAAAAAATTTAAATTTAATTTTAACCAGATTCTCATTTTGTAAACAGAATGATCAACGGATTGTGAGCTGCGGTAAGAAAAGCCTTGTAAAAGAAATAGCCAACATACAAAATTATACGAAAGATCGATTTTGATTTAAAATGCCAAGATACACATAGAACAAATAATATGAAAAGACGATTTGAATTTAAAATTTGATAATTTTAAAGCTATACACCGCCCGAAAAAAATCTCGTTCAATTTTCAAAGTTAATAAAATCTGAATCAAACTTACCTAAAATGGCCTAAAATGTTGGGCATCATTTGCATGTTGTTCGCCACACAGAGACTAGTAACTGAATTATCTCAAAATATAAGGTAACTCGGTAACGAAAGGGGTTGAAGAAAATTGGACATCGGCGAGGTTACCGAAAAACTGTTGAAATTTTAGGCTACGGGTTTAAAATTAAAACATACAGCACAGATTTCATTGGACGCGACTAGTCACATGTTGTAAGAGGGGTTTGCTAAAACAGAGTGGCTGCTGAATTCCTGGCAAGGATCCGTGTTTTGCTTTAGATTCCAGACCAATTGCAACCATCCCATCAAAACAAAATACAGTAGGAAGGGAGGACTTCTTTTTGCCAGACGCAGCTAAATGGCAGCGTCTTGGCAAAAGTACGCCAGTCAAAGGACTTCATTAATGCTACTTTACTTAGCAAGCAGGTACCAAAAATAGATTATGCGTCTGCGTCTGGACCGCTTTGCAATGACAGAATAAAGTCTGAGGTACAATGCACTTGTCGGCAAAATTTGTACATGCTGTCAAAACACGCTTTCTTTTTATTTTTGCCTTTGAAACACATCATAAAGGAAGCGTTTTGAAAATTGTTAAACTGATAAAAAATACATTACATCGATGAGCCTTAATTTTGTAATGCACTGAAAATTAATTAAAAAGTAAGCTTATAAGTGTAAACAAAACTAAATATTAATAAAACCAATACACAGTGGTCTCCCATAAAACGAGAATTCCTACAACGCGACGAAAAAATTGCGACTAGTACTCACACGGCAAACACTCACTCGGTAACATAAATTTAACAATTTTAAATAGTTTCTAATTTTTACTTCCTTGTACGAAATAAAAGAATATTGTAATCACGAAAAATTCCGGGTACTATATTTCAGCGAAAATATCCATTTTGGCCGCTATCGAATGCAATTTAAGGACGTTTTTGCGTTACATCTGTATGCAATGACAGAATACAGGACTCCTTTTCCCCAAACGAATTATAAAATTGATTTAAAATGGATTCAGAAGAGATTTCTGGCGTATGTATGCATACATGTATCTCGCATAACTCAAAAACGAATAGCTCAGAACGCTGAAATTTTGTATGTGGAACTGCTATAACATGTAGATGTATGCACACCTCCCCCGTTTTGGTTGCAATTGGTCGCATTATGAGTACAGAAATTATATGTATATATAATATCCACTCTGTTACTCGGTTCAGTGAGCTCAGTTTCTTTATTCTTACACGTTTATATATTGTGCCTTTTTTGCTTTAAAAATGATTAAATTAGTTGTTCTTATTTTCCGGTTAAGGTTTTTATTCCTGTAGTTAAACTGCATGATCAACAATTTTAAAGTTGTTTAAGGGCGGCTAGGCCTTTTTTTTTAACACAGCACCTATATTTGTTTATATTTGAAACTTTGCAGAATAGTGGATTTGTTGCCAATCTAGAGAAACTAAGCTTCATAACATTAGTTATTGAGAACTAAATTATGCTTAATCTATTCTGGAATTATCGTTTAACTTATTAAACTATACCATATATTGACTCAAATAATTAACAAATTAAGTCCGTTTATTAGTCCGTCCCCCCAAAAAAATTAAGTCCGTTTCTACGCCTTCAGTGTCTTTCTGCAGAGTGAAACCAAATGTAAATTTTCAGTTTTGTGCACTGAAAAATCTGCCTTCTTGCTCGCAGGCCGAGTTGCTTGTTTTTGCGTAAATGTTTCATGTTTTTCTACATTTTTCAATTTTTGCCTTGCCGCGAAGTGAAAACTGAATTAGAAATATATCTCTAATGAAATTTCGGAATTACGCTTAAATCAAACGTACGAAGAAATGCGTATAATTTAATATTCCGTACAAGGAAGTTGGTGTACACATCAGATTTTTCGTTTTGGAAAACAACAGTTGTTGATACTATACGAAAAGTGAAGCCGATGGTTTTAAAAACGTTTATAAAAAAATACGGGGGGTCGTTATACTACAGTACATACACATTTAAAGATATAAGATGAAAATAATTTTATTATTCAACTTTTAATAAAAATATCCAATTCATTATTTAACACTGTCGAAAAACGACACCGTCTTCTTAATAACGCTCGCACAGATTCATCGCTTGATCAGTCTAAGT